AGCTGAACTGCAGAACTGCAGTCAGCTGAAGTAGCCTGCAGTGCTGCATTTAACCACTGCGCCACCCAAAAATGGGTGATTGATGGTTTTCCCTTTCTCACAGTTTAAATAGTAACAAGATAATTGCCAACGTCCCCCAAACTATATCCGTATCAGAGGGGGACTTCCAAGTTCCCATCTGGGCTATTCCTGGCTGGGCCAGAGTGGCCTTTCCAGGCAGTATTTTTCTAACCTAGCAAACAGAATAGATATGTATTGATTCAAAATTTTATCTGCCAGGTTCATTCTTTACATAAATAATTCAGATTTTATCCTAATTCTTACACAGGCATTTTCTCAAAGTCCCATTTTATTAGAGTAGGTATAGCGGCACACGTGGGAAAACCGGAATCTGAGATTTCCGGGCCTTCCTTAAGTAAGTCAAAAGTCCAAACCCATCCCATGCACCCCATCAATCCATCACCTCGTCCAATCCCAATCCTTCCCATCTCGAGACATCACTCCTCCTCCAGGTGCGGGAACACCATGACCTTGAACGAAAAGAAGAAGGCTATTATGTCTTAACCACATCCCCTCTACTAATTCCCGCCCCACTCCTAATTTCCCAAGCACAAGAATGTGGCAGCGTGGAAGCTTCCAGTGGTTAATATGGCTTCCAAAGCTGACACCTAGCTTAACAATTGCAGTGATCGACTTAACAGCTGTGGCAAGAAAGGTCATAAGATGGGGCAAAATTCACTTAACAAATGCTTCGCTTTTAGCAATGGAAATTTTGGGCTCAGTTGTCGTAAGTCGAGGACTACGTGTACGAATAGTCCTCAGACTCACTGTCTCCTAGTTTCTAGCCGGTGGCCTAAACCACTACGCCAAACTGGTTCTCAATTGTTTCCATTGCTTTGTTTGTTTGCAACTTCTGCTTCTTATCCACAGCCTGACATGTATCCTGGAAACTGCTGGGCTTTCAAAGGATCACAGGGCTACCTGGTGATCAGGCTTTCGATGATGATCTATCCAACCTCTTTCTGCCTGGAACACATCCCGAAATCTCTTTCACCCACAGGCAATATTACCAGCGCCCCAAAGGATTTCTTAGTATACGTAAGTGGTGCCCTCTGCAAAATGAAAGGAATCTTGTCTTAGGGTTCAACTAAAGTTGCTCCAGGGTTTCTAGTAATGATGAAAGAGTTTGAAAGTTAATTGCTGGAGGAGTTCAGGCTTATTTGGCGGATTGATCTAAATAACAAAACAGAGTTGCAGAAACGTAAACAAGCATCAGTTGCCTGCGGAGATTAGGAGGACTAAAAATTAAAGTCTTTTCTAAAGGGGAAGCGTCTCTCTCTCTCTCTCTCTCTCNCCCTCCCCGTTTCATGGCAGCTGAAGCGATAGCAAAGCAGAAGCTGACACAGCCATTGTCCCACCTAATAAAAAGCGATCTAGATCTTAAACACCGTTGCCTTTATTCCAGATCTCTCTTTAATGCTGCCGAGCAGAGGCTGAGATTTAGAGTAGATCTTTTTGAGATCATCTTCCCAGCGTGTTCAGGTTGCTAGGAGCTGTACGTTCCCCTTTAAAAGCAGGTTAAGGTGAACAGATGATGATTTCTGTAGCAAAAGGAATTATTTGCTCCTAAGTGACTTTCAAGGCCTTATTGAAATGCTGACCTGGGATCTCTGTCCACCTCTCCCCTTCTGCAGCAAGCCCAGGTCATTGTCAACAACGCCCTGAGGCTCTACTCTCAAGACAAAACCGGCATCGTGGATTTTGCTTTGGAATCTGGAGGTAAGGGGTCAAGAGTTGGGAAGATCTATTTCGGTTCTTTAAAAGAATAGCAGAATATCAGACTCCGGAAGGACCTTGGAAGGCTTCTAGTCCAACCCCCTGCTCAAACGGGAAACCCTGTACCATTTCAGACAAACAGTTGTCCAAATCTCTTCTGAAGCCAAGAACAGGAGTCTTGTTTTGAAAGCTGCTGTGATGAACAAAGCTAAAAGATTTCCCCTCTCTCTGTCTTCCTTCGAGGTGGTAGCATTTTGAGCACTCGCTGTTCAGAGACCTACGAAACCAAAACGGCCCTGCTCAGCCTCTTTGGGATTCCCTTGTGGTATTTCTCCCAATCACCCCGCGTAGTGATCCAGGTAAGTAGGATAGGGCGCTTTTACTGACAGCCTTCGACTTACAACCATTCATTTAATGATGGTTTGAAGTTTCGGAGACACTGAAACAAACCTATGACCATGATCGCTTATGACCGTGGCAACGTCCCCGCCAGTGGTGGGATTCAGCCAGTTTGCACCTATTCGGGAGAACCGGTTCTTAATTTTCTAAGAGGTTCAGAGAACCGGTTGTTGGAAGAAACCTCTTTTGGTTTTTTTCCGCTTTACTAATCCTGTAAGGAAGGCAGGAAGGAAACATTCTGGTGTTGTTTCTAGC